AAGTCAAGGGTTAAGATCCCCTTACCGGTCATCTTTTTTAAAAAATAAATAAATAAAATAAGATAGCTCTTTAGGAACTCCCTAGTGGTATTTCTGGCCCCCTGACACTCATCTGGGCTGATTTCTAAGCGGCTGTCAGGTGAGAAGAAAGCAGTCTGACACATGCAGATTACCCAGCCTGGTTGTCAGGAGACATGGGCTCCACTTCCAGCTCAACTAGGACCTCGTTCTTACCTCTCCAGATTCAGCATCTCATCTACACATCTAAGGGATGAGACTAAATAAAAGTTTTCAAACTGAGCTCTAGGGCAGCACTTCCAATAGAAATAAAATGTGAGCCACATAAGTAAGTTTAAATTTCTAGTTGCCACATTTTAAAAAGGAAAAAACAGTTGTAACTGATTTTAAAAATATATGGTAGTCCCCCCTTATCCATGGTTTCGCTTTCTGCAGTTTCATTTACCCACAGTTCAAAAATATTACATATGGTAAGATATTTTGAGAGAGAGACCATATTCACATGTTTGTTACAGTATATTGTTATAATTGGTCTATTTCATTATTAGTTATTGTTAGTTATCTATCTATTACTAGTTATCTCCTACTGTGCCTAATTCATAAATTAAACCTTACCATAGATATGTAAGTATAGGAAAAAACAGTATATACAGGGCTCATTGCTACGTGCGGCCTCAGGCCTCCTCTGGGGGTCTTGGAACATATCCCCCTCAGATGAGAGTCGACTGCAGTATTTTATTTAATCTACTATATGTGAAGTATTATTATATAGACAAGGAGCAAATATAAAAGCATCAGTGAGCTGTTTTACACTGTTCTTCAGTGTAAGTCCCAGATCTGGTGTGCATTGCACTCACAGCTCATCTCAACTCGGACCGGCCTTCCTTCCAGAGCTTAAGAACCACCAGAGGCTCCAGCTACTGTACTGGACAGCAGTCCCGGGGTCCCACTAGGGAATCCCCACCGAAAGCAAGAAAGTGAGTGTACACTCTAACCCTAAAAGATTCCCCTTCACCAAAGGCTGTCCCTGCTGTTCTAAAAACCCAGGGACTACACCTTTCTCACCCTGGCTGCAATGACATCTCACCATTTGCTCATTCATCCCTTCTGATGCAAAGGAGGCAGCCCAGGTCTCCAGGTAAACTCACCTACTGTCTGTGTCCAGTCCCACAAAGTCCTTCTTCTCAAACGGGACACAGAGCAGGGGTATCTTGTCCCCGGACTTATCGGTGGCTCTGTCCAGGCGCTTGGACTCGAGCACAATGAAGAGCGACTCGATGAAGTCCTCGACTCGCTTCTCCACGGTGGCGCAGTCGTCGTAGCTGGGGTAGAAGGCCACGTCGGGGCGCGGCGGCTCGGCCAGCTCGCCCCGCAGCCCGAAGACGAGCAGGCGCGAGTCGTACAGCGTGGCGCCGTAGGCCTCCTTCTGCACGTGGAACTTCTCCAAGGCCTGCGGCCAGTCCTTGGCCGAGCAGCAGTCGGCGACGGCGATGAGGCCCACGACCTTGCGGTGCGTCTGGAAGTCGCCCCACTCGTTGTTCTCGGGCGGGTAGTGGTGGCGGTAGCGGATGCAGAGCGCGCGCTGCGAGTCGCGCACGCCGGGGGGGC